GCGCGTACACCGGAAGCTGCACGTACACCCGAAGAGCGCTGCAGCGCTGCGCGTGGGGTGTACGTGCACCGCAGAGGCAGCAGGCAGCGCCTTTGGGGCTTCTGTTGCATTTGATTGCATGCAGCTGAAGCCTCGTCAGTTCAAAACTTTAATTAGGACATTAGGACTGGGCTTTTGCCTTCAAATGCATGCAGAAGGAGTGAAAATACAATTATTGAAAGCAGCTATTTGTGTGCAAGTGTAAATAAAGAAATTATTATATGTTTTTGCGCTTAAATGACGCAAAAGGCTTTTGTAGTGTATCATGATGAGCCCACGCTGGGGTGTATGTACAGACAGCACAGTGGCTCTGCCTCTTAGTTATTGAAGTGCACATAAATGTAATCCTGTACAAACATAAGTAAAAAGCATAAATAAAGATATATTTAAATATATTTATATGTACATATGTGCATTTATTTATATATATTTCCTTCTTCTACGGGCTGCATGCAAGCTGCATGCGCGCCGCTCAAAAGGGGCTACGAACAGCGCATGCGTGCAGTGTACGTTCACCCTACGAACCCCGCACAAGCTGCGCACTCGGGTGTACATACTTCACTTTTTTTAAACTCATTTTAGTCAATTTAAGAGGGCATTTGGGCCCTTCAAATGCGGGACTTGGCCCGCATGTTACCCAGGAGAAAATGAAATAATGCAAAGTGAAATTTAAGGGACTTTTCCGCTTCAAAAATCCTCCAAAACAGAATAGAAAAATCTGAAATGAAACGTTTGAAACTTTTGCTGCCCCTGAGAGTGGGGGGGCAGCTGTGGGCTTCGCTGTAGCTAGCTGTAGCTAGCTGTGGCTAGCTGGGGCTACCTCAGGCTAGCTCTGGCTAGCTATGGCTAGCTGGGGCTAGCTGGGGCTAGCTGGGGCTAGCTGGGGCTCGCTATGGCTAGCTGTGGGGGCAGTGTGCAGCAGTTCGGGCTAATTTTGGCTAGCTGTGGCTAGCCACGGACTACTCCAAGTAAATAGGGACTTCGGGGCTCTTTGATGGCCACCTGAGCAGGCAGCAGCAGCAGCAGCAGCAGCAGCAGCAGAACGCGCAGCAGCAGCAGCGTGGCAAGCAGCATATCCGGCAACTGCCGAGGCAGCAGCATGCGCAAGTGCAGCAGCAGCCCCAGCGTACAGAGACGCAACAGCAGCAGCAGCAGCAGCAAAATCCAGAGGTGCTGTAGTAACAACAGTGGTAGCGTAGCAGCACAAAATGCGCTGCCTCTGCTGCAGCAGCATCAGCAGCTTTTACAGCAGCAGCAGCTGCTACTGCCTTTGCTGCAACAGCAGCAGGAGCAGGAGCAGCAGCAGCAGCAGCAGGAGGGCTCAGGCGCACGGGCTTAGCTGGGCCTTGCTCGTGTCCCGCAGCACTTGGAATCTCTTCCCGTTTTTGATTTTTAAAAGTCCCAAATGTCTTTTATTTTCTTTAATAGTTTCCTGTGGCCCCGTGCGTAAGCCAAGCTGCAGCAGCTCTTAAAGAAGCCCCCAAAGAGAAAAAGCAGCAGAAGTTCTTAAGAAATGCTGCAGCAAATAGTTTGCTGCTGCTGCGGGCCTTGGGGGCTTTTGCTGCAGCAGCAGTGCAAGTGGGCGAAGCTGTCTCAGTGTGCTGTGGGTGGTGGGCCATGGGGAAAGCGGCGCTGCTGGCCTCTGAATGCGCAATTACGGGGAAAAGTCCCATCAAATTAAATAAAAAATAAGAATTATAAATGAATTAAATAATTAATTGTTTGGTTCACTTGCTGCAGCGAAGGCACGCGAGGGTTCCGCACATCGTTTTGCACAGCCTCGAAAGATGATTCGGTTCTCGCGCTGCTGCTGCCCGCGGGCTTGAAGCAACACCGCGGGAAATGTTTCCTTCTTCCCTTTAAATGAATTTATTTGCATTTAAATTCCCAAAATAGCTGCAAACGCCTTTCGTTTCCGGTCCGCAGAGCTGCACAGACACCCCAAGTCGCCGCAGTCAGGACCCGCCTCGATGGACTCGGTGCTCAAAGGAGCCGCCAGTTTTTCATTTTTCTTCGTTTTTTCGCGCGACAAAGGGGTTGAATTTCAGTTAAAGCTCTGAAAAAGGTGTTTTGAAGACAGAAGACAGCGGGTAGGAGGCAGCGGGCTTTGTGCAAAGGCGACCCGTTCAAGTTTCCGCATTCACGTTTGCAGCGCCGCCGGCTGCGGGCCGCCGATCTTCCACCTTCGCGGGACCTTTTTGGTCTTTTTGGACTTGAAATTGATTTGAAGCAATCTGAACTTGATTTGGGGAAGTTTTTGAGGTCTTTGGACTCGGAAAAGCGCAGCCCGGCCGCCCGAAACCGCCGGAGGACCCGCCCGCAGCCGCCGCAGCCGCCATGAAGCAAAAGGAACACAAACAGCCCCCCGTGGCGCTTCCGGGGGGCCCCCAGGGGCCCCAGGGCCACGTGCTGCACGGGGCGGACGACAGCATAGTGTGCGTCTCTGCTGGGGCCACTCCGCTGCACATGTGTGCAGCAGCAGAAGAAATGGACATGGGCTCTGTTGCTGCGCTGCAGCAGCAGCAGCCCAACGAGGGCCACTCCCAGCCAGTCACCACGGCCCTCTCGGCCATCCAGCGGGCCGCTTCTTGCGCCGGAGGCCCCGCCCCTGGGGGCCCCCCCGGGGGCCCCCCCGCGGAGTGTGGGGCCCCCGCCGAGTCCTTCGCCCCCGCTGCAGCAGCAGCAGCAGCAGCAGCAGCCGCAGCAGCGGAAGGCAGCTGCGGGGACTACTCAGAGACGCCGCTGCCGGAGATGAAGGCGACGCTGCTGCGGTGTCTGCGGGGAGAAGAGGAGGAGGGCCTGGAGGCCCCGGGGGGGGCCCCCCGGGGGCCCCAGGGCCCCCGTTTTGGTCATTATAATGGGGGGCACGATCTGCATGGACTACGCGTACAAGAACGCGTGCCTGAGGCCGGCAAGGCTGGGCCGTCGACTTGCAAATTGTGAAGAACTTCAAAAAGATAATTTGCCGCGGTTTGATATTTTGGAGTGGGACAATTTGGTGGACAGCAGCGACATCGGCAAGGAGGAGTACGTGGCCCTGGCGCTGCAGATCGAGGCCTTCTACGAGGACTACGACGGGTGCAAACCCTAGGGTTTAGGGTTTGGGGTTTAGCGTTTAGGGTTTGGGGTTTGGGTTTGGGTTCGGGTAGGGTTTGGGGTGGGGGGGGGGGCTTCAGGGTTCAGGGTGCAGGCTTTTTCAGGGCTTCGGGTTTAGGGGTTTTAGGCTTCAGGGTCTCTAGGGTTTGGGGTTTGGGGTTTGGGGTTTAGGGTTTAGGGTTTAGGGTTTGGGTTTGCAGGTTCGTGGTGCTGCACGGGACGGACACGATGGCCTACACAGCTTCGGTGTTGAGCTTTATGCTGGAGAATCTGCGGAAAGCTGTAGTGCTTACTGGAGCGACTTTGCCATTGAGTGGGTTTTTTTTCTTTTTTGGAATTATTTTAATTATTTTATTTAATCATTGTAACTATTCATTTATTTTATTCATTTTATTTATTTTCCACATCAGAGTTGCGTTTTTCCCCATTTGCATGCGCATCTTCTCTTTCCGCTGGCGGGCGTGAGTGTTTTCTTCCCTCTCATTGGCAGTTTTGTTTTACCTGCATTTACGTAAAATTTGACTTTAATTTAATTTGCATTTAATTTTAATTTGGTTTAAATTTAATTTGAATTTGATTTTATTCGTTTATACTTGCATCTGTGCTTCTTCGTGGGTTCCGACTTGCATTCAAGTCTGCATCTTCGTTCAAGTTTCGCTTCGAGGACCTGAACCGCTTTCATTCGACGTAATCAAATAAGTCAAATAATGAAATGATCGGATGAATTAAAGAAATTGAATGAATTGAATGAATGAAATGAATGCATGGTGTCTGAAATGCCTTGGAATCGTGGGTTTCTGAAGTTGAATTTCTGAATTTTGAGGATTTTTTGGATTTTTCTCGTTTTTTTCGGTTTTTGGAGTTATTCGGCACTAAAAAACGAAACGCAGCCAGATGCGGCTGCAGAAAAGGACCAACGGACTTGCAATGCGACGCAGTGCACATCTCGAGCGACGCGAAGCGGAACGTGGGCCTGAGTCTGCTGCTGGCGGCGTACGGGGCGCTGGGCGAAGTGGTGGTGCTCTTCGGCTCCCAAGTGCTGCGGGGGCCCCGCTGCAGCAAAGCCAGCTGCAGCAGCATGGAGGCCTTCAGCTCTCCGAACTTCCCGGCGCTGGGGAACATCGGCGTGGACCTGGTGATCCACGACCGGCTGAGGGCCCCCCCCCCGCCCCCGGGGGCCCCCTTCCGCGCCTTCACGGGGCTGTGCTGCAGTGTATGTACACTGCAGCTCGCCCCAGGCACCCCCCTCGAGGCCCTCGAGGCGCTGCTGCTGCGGACTTCGCTGCGGCCGCTGGCCGTCGTGCTGCAGCTGTTCGGCGCGGGCACGGCCCCCAACTCCCCGCGCTTCCTCGCAGCAATCCGCGCAGCAATTGCTGCAGGAGTTGCTGTTGTTGCTGCTACGCAGTGCCACAAGGGAACAGCAAACCTCCTCATCTACGAAAACGGAATTTGGATTTCTTCCCTCGGGGTCATCTGCGCCAAAGACATGACCCCCGAGGCCGTCGTCGCCAAGCTCTACTACCTCATGGGTCCGCGGCTGCCCAGCTAGCTAGCTAGCTGGCTGGCTAGCTGGCTGGCTAGCTGGCTGGCTAGCTAGCTGGCTGGCTAGCTGGCTGGCTGGCTAGCTGGCTGGCTGGCTGCGTTTGGGGCTGGGTAGAGAGAGAGATACTTGGACAGCCAGGTGGACGCAGGGGGAGCTAACTGGCTAGCTGGCTAGCTAGCTAGCTAGCTATCTGCCTAGCTAGCTAGCTAGCTAGCTAGATAGGTGGCTAGCTAGCTAGCTAGCTAGATCTATGGGCACATAGGTGAAGGTGTAGCTAGCAGCCCCAGACCTACCCACACAGCTGGCGGTAGAGCCGTCCGTGGCAGCTGTTTGCCTGCTGCTGCTGCTTGCGACTCCCTGCTGCTGCTGCTGCTGCTGCTGCTGCTGCTTCCAGGAAAGGGCGTGACTGGGCGTCGGCTGAAGGAACTGATGGAAAGCAACTTGCGGGGCGAAGTGACAGTCGGCCTCAAAAAGGTGGAAGGCAAAGCTTCCCTCGACGCGGAGCAGCACACGGAAATCGCCAAGGAAATTGCGTGCGTCAGCAGCAGCAGCAGCAGCAGCAGCAGCAGTAGCAGCAGTTGGAGCGGCAGCAGCAGCGGTTGGGGCTGCAGCAGCAGCAGCAGTAGAAGCAGCGGCTGCAGCACGGTTGGCTAGCTGCTCTGGCTGCTGCTAGCCGGATTCGGCTGCTCCGCTTGTGCTGTTGCTGCTGCTGCTGCTGCTGCTGCTGAACTGGTGCTGCTGTTGTGCAAGAAACCTGAGGCTTTCTAGGGGATCTTGGGGTTTAGGGTTTAGGGTTTAGGGTTTGGGCTTTCTTTTTTCCTTCAACTTTTGTGTGCAGACGAGATATAAAAAAGAGGAATGCCGCAGGTGCAGCAGCAGCAGCAGCAGCAGTAGCAGCAGAGTAGCTGCTTTGCTGTAATCTTGAGAAATGTTTGCAATGTGCAAATGTGTTTTTGCGTTCGCTCCCAAGTGGCCTGCGCTTGCTGCAGCAGCTGCAGCAGCAGCTGCCGCTGCAGCAGCAGCCGCTGCTGCTGCTGCTGCTGCCGAATATATGAATATATGGGTTTGGGGGCGGGCGGTCTGCCACTTGCAAAGAAATTAAAGAATGACAAAAATAAATAAATAAATAATGAAGCAGAAATTAAAATGGAAAAAAATAAATTAAGAATTAATAAGTCAAGAAGAAATGGAGCAGCAGCAGCACAGGGAAAGGGAGGCACTTGTCTTCCATTTGCTGCTACTGCTGTGCTGCTGCTGCTGAGGAAAGCAGCAGCAGCAGCGGCGCCCTCGCGGCTGCCTCTTGAATGTTTTGCATTTGCGTTTTAAACTCTTTGCTTTAAAATTAAAATTAAAATTGGAATTAATTTTAAATTAATTCGTTTGTTATAAACATTATAATTAATTTAACTTGCACATTTAATTGTCTACTTCGCATTTTTAAATCCATTTATTTTTCATAATAAAATTTATTTGCGTCAGAACTCTTTGCTTCAAAACCCTTGCAGTGTGCCAGTGCCACTGCAAACCCCAGTCGCAAACCCGAATAACTCTAAACCCTAATAATTGCAAACCCTAATAATTGTAAACCCTAATAATTGTGAACCCTTATTGTTGCAAACCCTAGTAATTGCAAACCCTCGTTCTAAAGCCCCTATAGGCTGCGGAGGGGATAAAATGCTTGTTTTGGTTTTCGGCCATTTTAAAGGCGAGAAAGAACAAAAAAGACTTTTTGTGATTAAAAAATCCTTTTTGTGCTCTAGAAAACCTTTTTATGAATTTAAATACTTGCAATTGTTGTTCTTTATTCGCCGATGAGCTTAATGCGGGGTTTAATTAGGGTTTACCAATTTTCGTGGCCTCAGATCGAGGGTTTAGGGTTTAGGGTTTAGGGTTTAGGGTTTAAAGTGAACTTTGTGCTGCTCCAGCGACGAAGGGAAAGGCGCGGGGCTGCGGCGCTGCAGCAGCAAAGGAGAAGAAAGCAGCAGCAGAAGATAAACTTGAAGACAAAAGAAAAGAAATAAATAAATCAAATAAATCAAACAAAACAAACAAAATAAACAAAACGAATAAAATTAATAAAATAAATAAATCAAACAATATTAACAAACTCAACAAAACAGTCAAGGCGCACAAAATCGCCGGAGTGGCTACTCGCAGACAAAGAGTTAGACCTGGATAGAATTAATTAATTAAAATAAATAAATAAACAAATAGGTAAATAAATAAATAAATAAATAATAAATGATAAGTAAATAATTAAAAAATAAATAAATAAGAAAGAAGTGAAAATTTAAAATGCTTGAAATGCTTCTGAACAGGTACAGCACACTTAGAGGCCACAGCTAGAAGTGTACTTGTTTATATACTTCTTTACGGAGATATTTATTTATAAATATACATTTAAAATATATTTATAAATATATATTTATAATCTATTTATAAATATATATTTAGTATATGCAAATATGTATTTATTGTTGCTTATTTCATCTGTAAGCTTTCAACTTCAGTTGCGAGGGCAAATGCCGCGCGGTGTTAATGGGGCTTTTTTGTTTCTCTTTTCTTCAAATGAACAGAAAAAAAAGCAAATTAAACAATTAATTAATTCTAAACTATTTTTATTTTAGTTACTTGACTAATTCATCATTTATTTAATTCAGAAGAAGAAACGGAGAAAAAAGAAGAGCTCTGGGGTGTGCAAGCATGCCCCAGCGCAGCGCAGTGTGCATACACCGCAAATAAAAAAGAAATAAATGCATGCGAAGAAACCTTTTTGCATTTTTATTCTTTTGCAGGTCCAATAAGGCTAACTGAACCATTTAATTTGTCATGTTGATGCATGCAAAAGCCCCAAAGTTGCACGGACTTGTTAAACCATTTAATTTGCCATATCAATGCATGCAAAAGCCCCAAATCTGGAGAAAACTTCTGAAAAGATGCGCAAAGCGAATCAAATACCATTTATCAGTTCTTTTGCATTCTTAGAAATGCAAGTTAAGTTATTTTGAAGGGCTTTCAGCCCTAGGCCCTTTTTAGTTGAAAATTTTTTTTTTGAGTTTTTTCCTAACCCTAAATAAACCCTAAACTCTAATTTAGGGGTTAGCGAGCGGCCGCGCAAACCCTAAAATGTTGAGGAAGCCATCTCGACATTGAATCTCTCTACTCATTTATTTATTTATTTACCATTTATTATTTAAGTGTTTAAGTTGTTATTTCTTATTCAATTATTTCCTTACTTATTAATTCATTTGCCATTTATTATCAAGTTGTTTAGTTTGTTATTTCCTATTTGTTGATATTACCCATATATTATTATACTTCTGTAAATGTCCATATTATATATTATTTAATTATACATTTTATTATCAATATATTTTATTCACTTAAATATACTTTATATTTATTACTAGAACAGAAATAAAGATGTAAAGTTAGAGTAAATACGTACAGAAATTTACATCATGTATTTACAGTGGCTAGCTAGCCAGTTAGTTACCTGGCTAACTAGCTAGCTAGCTAGCTAGCTAGCTAGCTAGCGAGACGGCCTGGCAGCCAGCTAGCCAGCAGCCAACCCATCTGCCACCTAGCTGGCTATCCAGCTAGCTAGCTAGCTAGCTAGTCCATCAGGTAGCTAGCTAGCTAGTCCATCAGGTAGCTAGCTAGCTAGATAGCTAGTCCATCAGGTAGCTAGCTAGCTAGCTAGCTACCCAGCTAGCTTGCTAGCTGCAAAGCTAGCTAACTAGGTAACTGTTACTCTAGCTAGCTAGCTACCTCCCTAGCTGGCTTGCTAGCTAGCTAGCTAGCTAGCTAGCTGGCTAGTTAGCTAGCTAGCTCGCTGGAAGTCCTACTGCGGGTAGCCACATGCCAGAACTAAACATTATATGTCAAGTACTTGCAAAGCAACGCGGCTGACTGGGCGCTGCTGTTGCTGCTGCTGCAGCAGCAGCAGCTTCTGCTGTTGCTGCAGCAGCAGCAGCAGCTGCTGCTGCTGCTGCGCTTTGGACGTTGGGGCAGGTCTTTTGACCTGCCTCACTGGGGCCTGTGGGGACTTGTGAATTAGTTTCAAAAGAATTTGAATTTAACTTCGAACTTGGGGTTGTTTCTTTTAAAAGTTTGCAAAAGTTTTAAATAAATGTCTCCAAATGCCTCAACTGCAGGAGCCCTCTGTAGAGCCCACAGCCGGGCTAAATTCCCAAGGGTCCCCCCTTGGGCTGCTTTTTGTTTCTTGGGTAGAGCTAAGCTCCACTTCGAAGTGTGGGCCCCCCTGGGGG